AGCCACCTTAGTGTCGATTTACCCTTTCACAACTTATATATCGCACCTCTATACGTATAACAATAATTGCTAATCGCATTTATGATACTTTCTGATAAATGTCAGTACAGTATTCATCTCGTTTTTCGAGAAACGAAACTTGTAATATAAAATCAATTTTTATATAATAGTTTAAGGTTGATAGTTAGTAGGGCATAGTATATAGTAAAATTTCGCAAGGAATCTTTTTTATTAGAATATTAAATGCTGTTTCATAAAACGAAAAATTAAAATATTATCAATTTTTTTTTAAAAAAAACAAAATATTTATTTTTACGTTATACTGCAGATATACAATTTAATTGAGTCTCATGTTTGCGATTTCTACTTTAAGGCCGTTTCGCTCTTTTAGAAGCTCTTTGTATTTTTTTCTACATTCGTCGGTGTTTTCTTTATATTCGGCCGCTTTTTTTTTGTATTGATATGCTTCCTCGTGAGCTCCTTCCCACAAGGAAGCATATTGGTCCCTTTCCTCTTCGATCATTCTCTTTTCTGCCTCCACTTCTCTCTTTTCGTCTTTTACTTGCTCGAGCTCGGAGTACAGCGTCATATTTACATCCTCCATTCTATTTAACTCCGAGCTCAGCGTCATGTTCACTTCTTCAAGCCAGTTTATTCTGGCGCACTCTTCCAAATCTCGAATTTCGGCTTCTTGTTTTTACTCTTCCCGGTCCATTTGTTCTAGAGCTTCTTGGCGGAGGCGGTACTTTCGAGATTTGGACCAGTGTTTTTTCTTGCCTCTGTTTTTTGGCCACTAAAATTAAAATAAAAAAAAAAGGGTAGTAAAAAACTTTCGTAATACATCTGATAATCTTATGTAATGAACAGAAAATAGGGGCTATATGCAACAAAAAAAAAAAAAAAGAAATAAATAATAAAAAGAACCCCACACAACATGCACTCAGGGAATAGCCTCAGTTTCCATCATTGGCTTGGCTTGGCCACCTTAATAAAAATAATAAATTTTATAAAATAATAAAAATAAAAATAACAGGCCTCAGTTTCCATCATTGGCTTGGTGCAGAGCACCATCGCAATAATTAAAATAATAAATAATATAAAATAATAAAAAGAACCTCGGGGAATAAAAAATGATATAAAATAATAAAAAGAACCTCGGGGAATAAAAAATAATATAAAATAATAAAAAGAACCTCGGGAATAA